TGACATACATCAGTTAAAAGGAGAACTATAAGGCTTTTTATTTTATGTAATAATCTAAGAAAACATGTCGACGTGTGTCTCAGGATGGATTGAACACGACCCCCTGCTCTCATCACGTGCATGATTTATTGAATTTGTTGCAGGTAACTTTTATACATGAGGTTAAAATTTAAAACAAAAACTGCCTTTTATTTTATGAGCAAATCTTAAGAAATAAAACCAAAATATCCGCATTGTGATTGAAAATGCCTGACATATACGAATTTCTCTTACCAAATTATTGACATTGAAAAGATTACACTAATAGATAGTAATGACTCTTATAAGCAAGATATATTGTCTAGCATTAACCCAGTCTTTGTCTAAATTAGTAATATATTTATGATTATAAGTAGGTCAATGAGTATATCACAGTATTCATGAGGAAGAAATGAAACAACATCCACATTATCCCCAGTTCCCCACCCTTTTTGTTATACATTTTGTTTCAGTTCTGTTGGCGTCTTTAAAGACACCATCCAATCATATTACACGCAAGTAGCATGGGACCTGCCTTAAAAGTTCGTGGGCCTATATTGATCGCAGAGTTGAATTCGACAAAAACCCAGCCCAGAGCCCCTTATATGTGAATCAGTTATTAAAAGAAAGTGAAACTAAATATTCATCAAGGAATCTTCCACAGTATGCTGTTGATAGACTGCATCAATTAGCCTCTGACTTGTCCACACGTGATAGTTTTATTTTAAGGACCATCTGTCATCGTCATTCAATTAAAAAAAAATGAAATAAAGATAACATTAAATGATTTTAGAAGTGAAATTCAAGAGAGAAATTGAAAAATCTAACAGAGGGATTGTTGATTCAACGACAGCTGATGCCAAGGCCTTGAAATTGACAATAGAAGAGCTTCGACAATACAAAAGAAATGAAATAATGAAAACTGTACCGTTTGGGTAGTATGTTATTTTTTAGAGCCGGTCGGAACGCACAAATGGCAATCACAACACTACTCAGAGGAATCTCTCTCTCTCTCTCTCTGGTGGTAGGTTCACGTGGTGTGATTACGCATGATAACAGGAATAGATTGATAAATATGATGACTGTACGTAAATGTAAAGTGAGGTATTTGTAATTGAGAAAAGTAATATTTAAAAATGATAATGTGTGGGTTTATGTTATTGTTTACAGCCTATCGGAACTCATCTTGCAATTACAATAATACTTGGAGGTTTAATTATTTTAGTTTATGAGACGCATACGAAAAAACAGTTATAACGGGACCTCTATCTCTCTCTCTCTCTCTCTCTCCATCTCTCTCCCTAAGTATGGAGATAGATTCCCATGGTACTCATGATATTAAGCAGAGATTGATACATATGACCACGGTATGTAAATATATAGTGAGTTTTTGTGAGGTATTTCTTATTAAGAAAACAACATTGTATAAACAATATTTGTTATGTTCCTCTTTAGGCCAAATCCCGGCTTAAACACACTTCGCAACTTTATTGATTTTCCATCAAGATCATACTTTGAACCACCAAAATATAATACATTTATAAGAAACCAGATTAAAGAAGATTTTGTTTTCTGAAAAAGAGCGGGAGTGCATTGTAGAACTCTTTGCCACTTTGTTCAGTTATGTATGTGAAAGAGCTGTTTTTTTCTCAATGAAAACACAAATATTATTTTTTTTCTAGGCATCAAGGTCAAACTCGCAATGGAACAAAACATCGCCGATGTTACTGAGCCAAAGTGTTATACAGTGCGTCCCAGAAAAAACGAAAACGAGAATTATCGATGTTTTATCATAACTTAATCACAATTATAATTGATAAATGACACATATTTGGAAAGCTTAGATCCTTCTCTTTCATTTGATGCAACTCATATGGAGCATATTTTGGTGAGTAAAATCAATTAGAGGAGAGAAAACCAAAGTCATTTGGCGGACGGTATCTGAATTTAAAGGAGAAAATCACATTTCAAGAAAGTTGAGTTTCCGCCCTTTCATATGACACCTTAATCAGAAAAAAATGAGCAAGGAATGACAAAGTTCTGTTTGTTTAAAGTAATGCTTGCATTTCCATAATTTTATCAAACGAATTCGTTTTCACTGGCTGCCTGCCGTAGCAGCAAACAGAGTCAACGATAACGGATCGTATTATAGACATTATTTACACATTCTACCCCGACCATAACCCGTTTTTCGATTTTCTAGGACAGTTCCAGAACGTAGTGAGAACTAGTTTGGTGTGATAGGGGCTTAAGCACCATTTTCTCTCATCTGAACAATGGCATGATAATTTATGAAAGAGCTATTTTCTTACTTTCAATGTGTATAAAACAAGGTCAAATCGTTGTTTGGTTGCTACACCACGATGACTTTTAAAGTAGTAATGCACTTGCTCATTACGTATTCATAATCACTTCGGGCATGAATACACCCTCCGTTCTCTGCGCGAGACTCGCACGCACTGCGGGCTAACTGCGTATTGTCTACAAAACATCGCCCGTTTCTCATAAATGATCAGACGTTTTCTCAATGACTGTTCCATGAGTTAGATTAATTGGGAAAACTGTGAGCAGTTCAAAATGAATTACTTGATTCTTAACTTTGTTTGAAATACCATCGTATGAAATATATGGTGAATTATTTGCAGAAGGCGACTTTAAGAAGAAATCTTAGTGTTTGATCTTGGAAGAAATTTTTACATTTATTTGTGGATTGATTTGACAATCTACAATTTTATTTTGAAGCAAGAGACCGTTGATGTGGATGATTTGAATGGACCGGATCACGCTGGTTTATGTGAAGGAGATCAGACCAATAAAACGGAGATATTACGCCGGTACCGATAGGGCCAGGACTGTCCGAGACGGAATATTTGATTATACAATTGGAAGAATGGTCGCAATTATTATTTTATTAAATTCGAATACGCTTTACAAAACGCAAAGGTGACTTTGGCACGAAACGAACGTAGAAACATCCATACGATTTGGGTCCACAGACATAGCAAAACATGACCGAAAGAGCAGCGAATGATCTTAATGGCAGGCCAGCTTCAAATGGCTATCTGAACGTTGTTCAGAACCTCGTCGGTGAAGAAGCACAGGTTGGGAGGGACAATAATGATGATCAAACTCGTCTTCACTGGGCATCACGCGATGGTCATCGTGATGAAGTTCAGTATCTATTTGGCCGAGGAGCAAAGATTGAGAGGAATGATAATAATGGTCACACACCTCTTCACTATGCATCATGCAAAGGTCATCTTAAAGTAGTTATGTATCTCGTTCGTCAAGGAGCACAGATTGATAAGCTTGATAATCTTGGTTGTACTCCTCTTTACTGTGCATCAATCAATGGTCATCTTAAAGTAGTTAAGTATCTCGTTGGTCAAGGAGCACTGATTGAGAAAAATGATGATGGTGGTCACACCCCTCTTCACTGTGCATCAATCAATGGTCATCTTGAAGTAGTTCAATATCTCGTTGGTCAAGGAGCACAGATTGATAATCTTGATAATCTTAGTTGGACTCCTCTTTACTGTGCATCAATCAATGGTCATCTTGAAGTAGCTCAGTATCTCGTTGGTAAAGGAGCAATGGTTGAGAAGAATGATAATGATGGTCACACACCTCTTCACTGTGCATCAATGATTGGTCATCTTATATTAGTTCAGTATCTCGTTGGTCAAGGAGCACAGATTGATAGGCTTGATAATCGTAGGTGGACTCCTCTTTACTGTGCATCCCTCTGTGGTCATCTTGAAGTAGTTCAGTATCTTGTTGATCAAGGAGCAATGGTTGAGAAGAATGATAATATGGGTCACACATCTCTTCACTGTGCATCAGTCAGTGGTCATCTTGAAGTAGTTCAGTATCTCGTTGGTAAAGGAGCAATGGTTGAGAGAGAGAATAGTGACGGTCATACACCTCTTCACTCTGCATCGCGCAATGGTCATCTTGATATGGTTCAGTATCTCGTTGGTCAAGGAGCACAGATTAATAAGCTTGCTAATAATAATGGTCGGACTCCTCTTTACTGTGCATCAAACAATGGTCATCTTGAGATAGTTCAGTATCTCGTTGGTAAAGGAGCGATGGTTGAGAAAAATAATAAAGATGGCCACACACCTCTCCACATGGCATCAAACAATGGTCATCTTGGAGTAGTTCAGTATCTCGTAGGTCAAGGAGCATATGTTGAGAGGGAAGATGATAATGGTCGTACCCCACTTTACTTGGCATCATACAATAGTCATCTCAATGTAGTTCAGTATCTCGTTGGTCAAGGAGCACAGATTAATAAGGTTAATAATAATGGTCGGACTCCTCTTCACTGTTCATCAAGTAATGGTCATCTTAAAGTAGTTCAGTATCTCGTTGGTCAAGGAGCACTTGTCGAGGAGCATGATATCGATGGCCAAACACCTCTCACTTCGGCATCATACAATTGTCATCTTGAAGTAGTTCAGTTTCTCGTTGGTCAAGGAGCAAATGTTGAGAGGAATGATAAAGATGGTCACACACCTCTTCACTGTGCATCAATCAATGGTCATCTTGAAGTAGTTCAGTATTTCATTGATAAAGGAGCACTGGTTGAGAGGAAGAATAATGATGGTCTCACACCTCTTCACTGTGCATCACGCAAAAGTCATCTTAAAATAGTTCAGTATCTCGTTGATCAAGGAGCACATGTTGATATTGGCAATAGGGATGGTAATACACCTCTTCATTTGGCATCAAGCAATGATCACCTTGAAGTAGTTCAGTATCTCGTTGGTCAAGGAGCACAGATTGATAAGCTTGATAAGCATTGTTGGACTCCTCTTCACTGGGCATCAAGCAGTGGTCATATTAATGTAGTTGATTATCTCGTCAGTCAAGGAGCAGAGATACATATCCTTGATATTCTTAGTCGGACACCTCTTTACTGTGCATCCCTCCTTGGTCATCTTGAAGTAGTTAAGTATCTTGTTGGTCGAGGAGCAATGGTTGAGACGGATGATGCTGATGCTCCAACACCTCTCGCCATGACATCAAACTTTGGTTATCTCAATTTAGTGAAGTATCTCATTGGTAAAGGAGCAAAGGTTGATGGGAATGACTATGATGGTGTCACGCCTCTTCACTATGCATCACGCAATGGTCATATTCAAGTAGTTCAGTATCTCGTTAGTCAAGGAGCGGAGATTGATATCCTTGATTTTCTTGGTCGGACTCCTCTTCATTGTGCATCAATCAATGGTCATCTTGAAGTAGTTAAGTATCTCGTTGGTCAAAGAGCCCTGGTTGAGGGGGATGATAGCGATGCTCCAACACCTCTCACCGTGGCTTCACACTTTGGTCATCTCAATGTAGTTCAGTATCTCGTTGGTCAAGGAGCAAAGGTTGAGGGGAATGATTATGATGGTGATACGCCTCTTCTCTGTGCATCAAGCAATGGCTATCTTGAAGTAGTTCAGTATCTCATTTGTCAAGGAGCCAAGGTTGAGAGGACTGATAACGATGGTCACACACCTCTTCACTGTGCATCAAGCATTGGTCAGCTTGAAGTAGTTCAGTATCTCATTTGTCAAGGAGCCAAGGTTGAGAGGACTGATAACGATGGTCACACACCTCTTCACTGTGCATCAAGCAATGGTCATCTTGAAGTAGTTCAGCATCTCGTTGGTCAAGAGGCGCGTGTTGAGAGGGACAATAATAATGGTCAAACACCTCTTCACTTGGCATCAAGCAATGGACATCTTGAAGTAGTTCAGTATCTCATTGATCAAGGAGCACAACCTGAAGGTAAGATTCGCATTTTGACGGTCATCATTGAGCTATTTGTTCAAATATCCCCATAGAAATTAATACGATGCAATTTGTTATATCTTCTAAAGGAAGAATTTTTACCCCGCCTTACCCGGGTTTTAGAACAATTGTTAGCAATTTCCTGCTCCTTTTAAAGAATTTTATTCAAAATAGATTGCGGCTTGCCTCTTGCCCAAGCGTATCTTCTCTTAATTTGTGTAAATAAGTAAATAAGCTATCCTGTGCAGCGTGAAATTTAGTCTGATAAATACTCAGAAAATGTCAACACTGCATTCGTTCAAATCATTAGTTTAAAAGATCATGTGCAGTAAGCATTCATGGGTGTCGATCCCGGGGGGGGGGGGGGGTGGGGGGTGGGGGGATATATCCCCCCAATATTTCAGGTGGGGGGGGGGGTGGCCTGTACAATCATCCCCCCCAATAATTCACTCTAAAAAAATATAAAAAAATAAAGAGAAAAATTAATGAGAGCCCGATGAGAGTAGTCAATGGTTATTACTCTCAAGATGACCATCAATATACACATTTTGCTATCTCATTTCCATAATACATACATATATACAAGGTAACTGAGACAACCGTATATGAGACAAGAATTAATTGAATTCTCACTCATACGGCTTCATCAGGAATGGATGAATTTATTCAATTTGTTCAATCAACAGCATCATAGAAATGCAGTGCGCCAAATGCAAAAACGCAGCGTTAAAAAACAACGAGCTAAATGTTAAGCGCGAAGCGCAAAAGTAGCAATCTGCAATGCACATCAGACAATCCTGGACAGTGTAAACATAGATGAACTCTGTGACGAATTCGTGATGAGATCGGAGACAAGGAGGAAGATTTTCGGACATTAGTATGACTTATAAGATAGTTAACTTGTTGTAATGTTGTTTCCGTTCACCCTTCTTAAAATTCACGTCATTGTATCTGTATTTGTGTTTTTTTCACATTTTATTTCCTGATATTTCCTAAAACATTTTTCATTTTTGGAGAAAGATTATTATCTCACAACTTATTTTAGTTTCATTGAAAAGCTGATGTAGGCCTATGTCACTGGCGTACTGATGGGGGGGGGGGGGGGGGGGGCTAGGGGCCCCCTAAATAAAATCCAATCATGACTTATTTTCAATTTCATAGAAGTGATTTATAAATGTTCGTGATATCACATGATTTACAACAAAATTCGCGTTTCTCCATTTCTGTTGCAAAATGACACATTCCCCAAAAGCCAGGAAGAGCATATATTTTGTATAGTTACTAATGGGCCTAATTAGTGGCCGTTATCACTAACAGTAGTATACAATTCCTTTCCAGAAGCTATTGGGACAAGCACTGCCGGGAAATAACATGCTACCCACCACTCGGGTTGTGCATGCAAAGATTTGCGAACGAACGTTCCATACGTACATCATGTGGGGAAACTAAATTCAGACAAGGATTAAAATATAGAACAGTACAACGAATAGTCTTCTTTCTCTAATAATTTACTGAAACAGCAAAGCTTCCGCGCTTTGCGCGGGAGGGGGGGGGGGCAACTGAATTCAGACTAGGATTAAGAGTTATAATTAAATGAAACGTCAAAGTACACGATACAACGAATCGTCTTCTTTTTCTAATAATTTAATGAAACGTGAAAGCTTACGCGCTACGCGCGGGATGGGCGAAAATGAATTCAGACGTGGATTAAGAGTAATAATCAAATTAAACGTCAAAGCTTCCGCGCTTTGCGCGGGAGGGGAAAAACTGAATTCAGACAAGGACACGATACAACGAATCGTCTTCCTTCTCTAATAATTTAATGAAACGGTAAAGCTTCCGCGATACGCAGAAGGCAACACGTTCAGCACTGGGGCTACAAACCGGTTCTTGAAAAGCGTCTATAACATACCACACATACCACTTCATGACTGCACTAACCCCACGATGACCACTTGCTCAACGAAGAAGTCCACTACTTCTGTCACCACCAACGACATTTCTAAACACGCCTAAGGTCAGGATGATATCAGAGATCCATGCCACCAATGTCTTGCGCCGGTCCAATGTTTCACTTTTTCCGTTGGAGCAGAAAAATCTCAAGCTAATAACCTCCGTACGTGAACTTGTGAAACCAATTTAATTGATTTGGACTTATTATCATATTGTTGACATCAAACTCATTTGATGGGATTAAAAATTGGAATTACTTTCTGTTTTTTTTTAGATCTGTTTTTTCCTATTCTTTCAAGATGTTACTCTTTGATTTGATTTTGATTTTATTTTATTCAGACAATATAAAAATATATACATGTCTTGGGTTACAAAACAAGGTTTAGAAAAACCCATACAGGTTTGCATCCCAGATATGGACAGTAAAATGGCATACATAATTACACAGTAAATACTGATACATAAAATATCAAAGTATGACATAGGTTATAGTTCAATATAAATACAACAACAGAAATAAAAGTCTTTACCTTATAGACACGTCAACATTTCTCTCGAAGGCATCGTTTAACAATGGTAAATCTGAGATGCACGGCCCCATGTCGTTTTAAGTGTCTGTGGTATGGTGTAATATTGAAGCCCTAAAACAAAAATTGCGCTTCAAAATTATCAAGACGTGCCTCAAAAAAGTTAAAGATCTTTGAGTGACCGGTTTTACCATGCTCATTTTGCGCAATAGAATGTAGCGTTATGAAAACCGTTAGGAGGACGCACAATTTGGTTTCGATTTCCAATCATAAATATCTGGATAGTCAGACAGGCGATTGGCTTCTAAAGGTCATAGGGTTCCTGACTGACCCAAAAGTTTTTAATAGACCCATTCACGGTTAGCACATGGCTGCAATGACCCGAATATCCACAGATCTTCAAAACATGAAGAGGTCCCACTTTGTACATTTTGAAATAATCACTCCTATACAGCGATGGAGGTGCTATATATAGCCATTGATTCCCCTTTTCAAAGAATACTTCCACCTGTGTATCATGGAGTGCACTGCTTGTGCATGAATGAATAACGATTACATAACTTTCATTAACACGTATCCAGTATTTCGTCTCCGTATATTTCAAAATTTGTTCTGCAATTACCTCTTTCTGCTCATGCTCAGACCGCAACCGTGAACTGGCTTATTATCATTGCAGCATGAGTTAAATCTAGGATTTTGTTTCAGGATCTTAGACAAAGTTACCGGATCCCTATAAAGTCCAATACGTTCACAATGTCGTGACAATGAATTAGTTATAAGATTGAGAATAACTTTTATTGTGTTCAAATATTCCGGAATAAATATTTGCAAGCGGCTTTTATGTGCTTTTTCTCTAGTTCAGATTAAACAGGTAAAATCATTTTTTCCTGCAAAGACTTGATGAAAAACGCCTTTGAACTGTTTTTTCTTTTTTATGTTATGAGAATGCAATGTCGAGAAAAAACTTATATACCAATTTTGGAAATGCCCCCCTTTCAAAAAAATGAAATGGAAGCTCTTATTACCAATAATGTGAAAGAATATGTTTTGACTATTATGTGATGATACACATTTTGCTGGGAAATCGCCTACTAATTGATATATTTGGTAAATCATCATATCTATCAGGCCTGGATAGATATCGCGTATTCCCATATACATATTTATGTGTACAGTGCTTGTAACTTTACCAAGACTGGGCCGAATTTCTTAAAATTTAGATGATTCCAGAACCTTGCAGTACATACAAATACTTATACGCTAGATGATCAACCTTTTTTGATCGATTCCACAACGTTTCTTTCACAATGCAATCGCATTTATTTTAGTATTTATATTTTCTAATGTTTTTGCTGTGTGTTTATTCCCACGTTTACGCACAGAGGGTTGCTAGCCTTCAGGCAACAATAGGTTCCCGTCCAGATGTCTATAATTGGGTGTTTCCCACTATTCAACGTGTGAATATAGACGCGGTCATTGTATTTGTTCCTCATGGTGATATGACGCAAACCCTCATATAGCATTTAACCCAATGCTGACCCCCACCCTAACTCCGCACTGTTCAAAGTCCACGACTGCCGACAACCATTTCTTTATCAAACGCCACCATAAACGAAAGTGCTTGAATTGTTAAAGGTGAGACAGGATAATTCAATAATTCAACAATCCCCTCATAACAGAATTAAATAAAATAATAAATCTTGCAGTCTTACAAATACATTTTTAACTAATATTTTTGTTTTTCAACCGTTTGTAGGCCTATTGTGTATTAAACAAAACATTAAAAAACATATATTGCAATATTTGGTGAAATGAATGTTAAATGTTTGTTTGTTTGTTTACAAATGAATATCATTAACCTGGCGAACGGGCTAACTTCTTTCAGAAACATTTTGCAGCCACGCCCTATACAGGTAAATTTAACTGGGGAATGGATTTGTGCTTATCATACTCCTTCGATATTGTAATCATATACTCATAGCTATTAACTTTTCCTTCTCTGGAAATGTCCTTGAGGTATCGATTGAAGATTGACAAAGCGATACATATCACAGTTCAGGATAATATGTATATTATAAATTAGGCTTGATTGAGCTTAAAGTAAGCTCACCAAAGTGTATTAAGGCCTGTATACAAAGGCCATTCTCGTTCACCATAGAGGTGTTCAATTTATCATTCAAAATTTGTCGTTTAGGCGAATAAAAGCACATAAAAGCAAATATGAAAGTATTCAACTGAGAAAATAATCAGCATAAGATTAACAAAACAAAAGACCCCAAAAAGAAAATTACTTTTAAAAGGGGAAAAATAGGTTTCCGCCGAGTCCTACATGATTTGTAATGGCCTTATCGAAGAAATCAAGAAATATAGTTCACTTGGCCAAGGTGTCACCTGACTACAAACTACTATAAAAGTAATTTCATGAGTGCCTAAATAGGAATGTTCGTCGAGGTTTTTTGTATAAACCTGAGCTTATAAAGCAAAGGGTGAGACTATTTACGAAATCTTTCACATACATCAAAGAGGTTGTTTTAAACTTTGATTTTAGCATTTACATTTTCTCATGGAAAGCT